ACCAAAACCCAGGACCAGAGTTCAACGACAATGGACCAGACGTCAATGACTTTTGACTAGAGGTCAATCACTATTGACATGAGGTCAATGATTATTGACCAGAGGTCAATGACTATTTACCGGAGGTCAATTACTATTGACCAGAGGTCAATTACTATTGACCAGAGGGCAATGACTATTGACCAAAGTCTATGACCATTGACCCGTAGTCAATGCCTATTGACCAGAAGTCAATGGTTATTGACCAGAGGTCAATGATTATTGACCAGAGGTCAATGATTATTGACCAGAGGTCAATGGTTATTGACCAGAGGTCAATGCCTATTGACCAGAAGTCAATGGTTATTGACCAGAGGTCAATGCCTATTGACCAGAAGTCAATGGTTATTGACCAGAGGTCAATGACTATTGGCCAGAGATCAATTACTATTGACCAGAGGTCAATTACTATTGACCAGAGGTCAATTACTATTGACCAGAAGTCAATTACTATTGACCAGAAGTCAATGACTTTTGACCAAAGGCCAATGACTATTGGTCAGAGGTCAATTACTATTGACCAGAGATCAATTACTATTGACCAGAAGTCAATGACTAATGACCAGAAGTCAATGACTTTTGACCAGAGGTCAATTACTATTGACCAGAGGTCAATTATTATTGACCAGAGGTCAATTATTATTGACAAGAGGTCAATTACTATTGACCAGAGGTCAGTAACTACTGACCAGAGGTCAATGACTACTGACCAGAGGTCAATGACTACTGACCAGAGGTCAATGACTATTGACCAGAGGTCAATGACTATTGGCCAGAGGTCAATGACTATTGGCCAGAGGTCAATTACTATTGGCCAGAGGTCAATTACTATTGGCCAGAGGTCAATGACTATTGACCAGAGGTCAATGTCTATTGACCAGAAGTCAATGTCTATTGACCAGAGGTCAATGACTATTGACGAGGGGTCAATTACTATTGACCAGAGGTCGATGATTGTTGACCAGAGGTCAATGATTATTGACCAGAGGTCAATGATTATTGACCAGATGTCAATGGTTATTGACCAGATGTCAATGGTTATTGACCAGAGGTCAATGATTATTGACCAGAGGTCAATGGTTATTGACCAAAGGTCAATGATTATTGACCAGAGGTCAATGGTTATTGACCAGAGGTCAATGATTATTGACCAGAGGTCAATGGTTATTGACCAAAGGTCAATGATTATTGACCAGAAGTCGATGGTTATTGACCAAAGGTCAATGATTATTGACCAGAGGTCAATGCCTATTGACCCGAGGTCAATGATTATTGACCAGAGGTCAATACATATTGACCCGAGGTCAATACATATTGACCAGAAGTCAATGCCTATTGACCCGAGGTCAATGATTATTGACCAGAGGTCACTGCCTATTGACCCGAGGTCAATACATATTGACCCGAGGTCAATGCCTATTGACCCGAGGTCAATACATATTGACAAGGGGCCAATAATTACTGACCAGAGGTCAATGATTATTGATCTAAGAACAAGGAGTCAATGATAATTGACCAAAAGTCAATGGGTATTGAAAAATTCTAAATTTTTGTGGAAGTGAATTTTTTTTTTAAATTTTAAAGAGCTGTATTTTTGCATATTTTGGAATATTTTTGAAATAATTAAGATTTTCGAGGAAACTTTTAGTTTCTATATAAATATATATTCTTTGATTTTATTATTAAAAAAATTTTGAAGATGGAATTTTTTCCAAAATTAAAAAAAAGTTGAATAAAAATAAATAATAAAATAATGGTTTTCAAAGATTCCAGATATTTAAGAACGTTTTTAGAATTCGCCTGGCCTTATTAATATTCATTGCTCCACCCTCTTTGAAATTATTTATTGGATTTTAATATTCAAAACTATTTGACAAACATGTCGAAAACAAAGGCATTTTTCAATTTTCCTAAAAACTCCCATAAGTGTGGCGACACACAACACACGACCCAGCATGTTGCACAAGCAGCTGTTGCCTGTGGTTGAGGAATTTGTCACTTGATTTGAATTTTTTTTTTCAAAATTCCAAAAATTGTTACAAATTCTTTATGCATGCCTTAAGGAAACAGAAAAAAACGACAACAAGGTAAACAACTGTCCCCAAGATAATTTATTAAGTCACCCAAAATAAGTCCCCCGCCCCCTTTTTCCATCGACAACTCCACTACACCATATTAAATTGAGCATAACTTTCGTGTGAAGTTTGGGTGGGGGAAGGCTTGGAGGGGGAAGGATAGGAATAATAAATAAAGTGGCAGTGGTGCGACAAGAATACTTTTGAACCATAACCGCCAATAACGCCGCAACACCGTCAATCATTTAGTTAACAATAAAAGGCGAGATTTGTTTTCAACGCATTTTCACAAATCATTTCGACAAATTGATTGTTGGTTGTTTGGTCGGTGTGACAGAGTGGCAAAGGCGGAGTTGTAAGCCAGCACACGTACAGACATGCACACATGTATGTGGCTGGGAATATTGTATCATGTCATGTAATAATTAACATGGCTTTTAAATCTTCATCAATTTTTTTTTGTGGGGGGAGGTGGGATTTTTTGTTGGAAATTTGAAATCCATACAGCCAACTTCCAAGACAATCGAATTTTTATCCGTAATTAAAGTGATTGAGTTAATAAAGTGGACGGACGGACGGTCGGTCGAACAGATATTTAAAACATAGATACTTAATATTCACATATGATTATTTCTTTTTAAATTAACAATTTTCAAAACCGTCTGGTGTGAGTGAGAATGTATCTGCCTAGTCTTGGTAGTTGGGGGGTCTATTGTTTTGCTTGGCCGCAGGAAAAATTTTGTACTTTTTTATAATTCCATACAATTATTACCCCGAAGAATGATGAGAATCGAAACAATCGACTTCTTATGGGAATATTACGCATATACCCCATACTTGACGTCCACATTGTCCGATGTACGCATTCTAAATTCTAAAGAAATACAAAAATGAACAATGGAAGGTTGAAAATAATAGTGGATTATTGAACTTTTTTGGATGCGACTTTTTTCTCAAATGGCACAGTGGGTTTTCGGGGGGAAAAATAGGGGCTGAATAGAATCAAACAAGGGATTCTATAAAGCATCTTCTTTTTCAAAATAATTTCCTGAAACGGAGTCAAAACAAAAAACGTTTTCAACAAAGAGAGAGAGCCATTGAACCCTTCCTAATAAGACTTTGGGACAAACTTATTTTCTTGATAATTACAGGAAAAATCCAGTAGATTATGAAAATAGAGCTCAAAATAGAAGACACGTATATCGGCATCTTCTTTTTTCAAAATAATTTCCTGAAACGGAGTCAAAACAAAAGAACATTTTAAACAAAGAAAGAGTCATTGAACCCTTCCCAACTAGACTTTGGGACAAACTTCATTTTTTTCCAATAATTGCAGGAAAAATCCAGTAGATTATGGAAATAGAGCTCAAAATAGAAAACACGTGTATCGGCATTTTGAAAGTTGACATTGCGAAGCAAACTAAATAGAGGGGGGAGGGGGGTCCCCTTCTAACCTCATTTTTTGAAATTTTCCGGATTAAGATTCCTTGGAAACGGAGTATTTTAGGCATACAGTCTCTTCAGCACTATTACTGATGGCAATAAAAGCTTTATTTTGGTCAGCAATTTTAACCCTCAAGCGAGTCATCAAAGGGGTCTTTTTGGGCCTTTTTTCAAAATATACTTAAAATCTCCCATTAAACGATCCCGTAGGCCGATAAAATATTCTATAAAATTATTTATCATAAAATTCTACTATAAGTCACAGAAGACTTGAAAACTCTAAATCTTACCTAAACACCAGGAATTCATAATTATTAAAAACACATTTTAGGGTTAAAACCGTACCTCATGGGAGTTTATGCAAAATTCTACTACAAAGGATCATTTTTGAACAATGACATTAAAGGCAAAAGTATTCTTCATCAAATTTCACTATAAGTCGCAAAAGAGAAGAAAACTCAATTTTCATTATATATTTAAAAAATATTTGCCTCAAAGTTACCACAAAAAACCGGAAATGTTTGCAAATTTTTCTACGAATTTTTTCCCCGGACTTTTTTTGAGTTAACGGCTGAAAGTAACATAACAATACGTTTTAGGCAAAAAATGCCAAAAGCAGAAAGATACTATACAAAATTTCACTAGGAAGTTCAGAATAAGGTATGCAGCTAGGTATAATAGTTTTTAAAAAATTTACATTAGAAATTACATATTTACGTTTTTTACTGCTAGTTTAATGCGCTCTTATTCTAAGTGAAAAATCTTCTCTAATACTTCATTTTAGAAGGGTGACGTCAATGACAAAAATATTCTTTATCAAATTTCACTTTTAGTCGCCAAAGACAAGAAATCTCTATCTCCATTATATATCAAGGAAATATTGGTATTAATTTTGACAAAAAGGCGAAAATTCTTTATATCTTTAAAGTAAGTTTTCATCGCCGCGAATCCCTGTATTTCCGTATTTACAGCCCTTTATTATATATGTTAAATTTATTTTAATTTTTATTCTTTGAAATATATTAAATAATTCATATTAATCGCTATATTCGTTAAAATGTTTAAGCAAAAGAGCTCTACTTTGTTCCCCACACTCTTGGTTATCACATACTACGTTACTTAATGACTAACTTCACTTGCCATCAAACAAACCGTGACTCTTGAAAGGAAAACGATATGGCAACCTTTCGGCATTTTCTTGTAATTTAGTGATTTTTCAATTTAAGGAGAGACCTTTAGATAAAATTTCCGTTACAATAATTCCTTACCGACTTAGCTGTCTTATTTTCCATTAATTTTCATTTATTTCAATTCATTAAATATTGAATTGATAAGATTAATTGAATTGAACTTTAAAAAGCAACGGTTGACATTGAACTAGTTCCTTGGCTCTGTTCAGAGAACAGCTAAATTGGAACATTGAACAAAAAAGTTCGCTTTATTGAATAAGTCCCTTGAACTTAGTTCATTCCAGAAACTTAATACATCGGGCTTGCTTGGTTTTTACAAGCTTTGAGAAAAACTAATTAATTTACAAATATTTTTATATAAATCCTAAAGGGGACAGCAACAATGAGCGGTGGAAAACATTTGGCCAAAGGTAGGACAACCCCCTTCCCCCTTATTTTGTGGTTTTGCATTGGAATGTTTCGGCAAGTCTATGCATGTAGTATACGTTGTTGTTGCTATCGACTAAATTAAGCCGACATGGCATTTCGAACAGAAAAAAAACATGATTCAATTATTTTTGTTGTTCTATTGATTCGATTGTGCAATTACTCTGTTATCTATCTCTCTTTTCAAGGTTCTGCCAAGCCTGAAGTACCCGATGACGGTAAATTATGTTTGTTCTCGATGCGCTTCTGTCCCTATGCCCATCGAGTTCACTTGGTGCTGGATGCCAAAAAGATACCCTACCACAGTGTTTTCATTAATCTGAACGAGAAACCAGAATGGCTGACTGAATACAGCCCCTTGGGAAAGGTGCCAGCTCTGCAATTACCCAAAGAGGAGGGCTGTCCACCGCTAATAGAATCCCTGGTCATTGCCGAGTATTTAGATGAAAAATATCCCGAACCTAAGCTTTATCCCACCGATCCATTGAAAAAGGCCCAAGATAAGATTTTAATTGAACGCTTTAATGCCGTCATCGGACCAATGTATAAAATATTCGTAAACAATGAAGTTTCACCCGGCACTATTACTGATGTCAGTAATGGTTTGGATATTTTCGAAAAGGAATTGCGGTCGCGTGGCACTGAATTCTTTGGTGGCGATAAGCCCGGCATGTTGGACTATATGATTTGGCCATGGTGCGAACGTTCGGCCATGTTGAAATATCTTTTGAGCGATAAATATGAAATGGATAAGGAACGTTTTGAGAAGTTGGTGAGTAAATGTGAGGCATAAGTTGAGTTTAGGGGCTATGCTTGGATTGACCTGAAATTTTTACCGCAGGTAGGTATTTGTAACCTGATTACGGCAATATAATTTTTTTGTGGGGGAAATACCCGGTTACCCAAAAGTTCGGATACAACATCCGGTTTATATCCGGTTCGGCGTAACCGATATCAATAATATGGGTATCATTTGAAAGCTTATGAATACCTATCCAACAAGTGGTCATATGATGGGGTAACTGGAACCGGTTTCGGAGAAATTTAGGAAAATGTGCATTTTTGTATGAGTAATTTTTGAAAAACCCATAAAAACTCGAAAATGGACCCATTATAGGGTCTTAAAATCTATACAATATATCATAGCTAACACTATTGCCTTTCCAAAATGGTGTCATATGTGTTGATATCTTTTGTAGTTCCGAAGATATTGACTTTTAAAGTCGTTACTTATGAAAGCAGTTTGAGTGAAGCCAAGTTTTGTGTCGGGTTTAACGTTGTTAATCTGCTTTGTTTTCAATTTGGTGTTGTTAGAATATTATGGGTCGCGTAGTCGGTGTTGGATATATCCCAGAGGAGAAAATCTTAAGCCCCGGCCGAAGGCCGGCTACTTACAAAAATTACAATTTTTAGAAAAACTATGGATCGCGTAGCTGGTGTTGGACATACCCTAGAGGAGAAAATCTTAAGCCCCGGCCGAAGGCCGGCTACTTACAAAAATTATAATTTTTAGAAAAACTATGGATCGCGTAGCCGGTGTTGGACATACCCTAGAGGAATCTTAAGCCCCGGCCGAAGGCCGGCTACTTACAAAATGTACAATTTTTAGAAAAACTATGGATCGCGTAGCCGGTGTTGGACATACCGCAGAGGAGAAAATCTTAAGCCCCGGCCGAAGGCCGGTTGCTTAAAAAAGCTATAAAGGTCAAAGTCAAATGCATCTAGACTGGTGAAAAATATAATTTAATGAATTCTATCTCTTATATCCACGGAACCACAAAAGATATCAACACATATGACACCATTTTGGAAAGGCAATAGTGTTAGCTATAATATAGTGTATAGATTTTAAGACCCTATAATGGGTCCATTTTCGAGTTTTTATAGGTTTTTCAAAAAGTACTCATACAAAAATGCAAATTTTCCTAAATTTCTCCGAAACCGGTTCCAGCATATGACCACTTGTTGGATAGGTATTTTCATAAGCTTTCAAATGATACCCATTTTATTGATATCGGTTACGTAGAACCGGATACAAACCGGATGTTGTATTCGAACTTTTGGGTCGAATAACCGTGTAACCGGGTATTTCCCCCACAAAAAAATTACATTGCCGTAATCAGGTTACAAATACCTACCTGCGGTAAAAATTTCAAAATGATCCGAGCATAGCCCCTAAACTCAACTTGCTCCGAAAATGTGCAGTATAGGTCAATTTTTGGCATAGGTTATCATTTAGTATTCGAAGGTTGGAAGGTTTCAGCTCAAATTTTCAATATAATTGTCTAAAGTTTTGCAATTTGGAAAAGGAGCGGCCGATTTTAGGCTTTTGGAGGAACTTTCAGCCAGTGTCTGGAATTTGGAACTTTGAGATCTTGAAAAGCATAACACATCGTTGCAAATATTATTCGATGTGAACCCGGTTTTCTTGTGAACCAAACAATATTTGTTTGGCCTAAGGACGAACCCTATCGAAATATGTGATAATCGGATCAGATTTAGATATAGCTCCCATATATCTTCAACCGATTTCAAGTTAATTCTTGTTCACCAAATGACCTAAATTTTGATAAATCCCACCGAATTCAGTCTAGAGGCAAGTACATCAAATTTGGAGAAAATTGGTTGAGATATAGCTATGTCTCCCATATATATTTTTCATCCTATTTGGGGTTTTAAGTCCGTAATATGCACTCCACAAGAATTATATTTTGTACCAGATATCAGATACAGCTCTGAAAGACGTGTATCAAATTTTGTCACGAACGGTTCAGATTTGGATATAGTTCCCATATATATCTTCAACCGATTCGGGTTAATTGTGCACCAAATAGCCAATATTGGACCAAAAGTCCTGACTTTTGGTTCATCCGACCGAATTCAGTCAGATTCAGATATCTCAGACCTCGGAAATATTTTTGCCAAATTTTATTAAGATTATTAAGATTTGGATATAGCTCCCATATATATCCTTACATTCGACCGAACTCAATCTGGAAGCAAGTACTCTACAAGAATGATATTTGGTACCAGATTTCAGATACAGCACAGAAATACCTCTTCGGGACGTACATTTCGATTTTGTGGAACTCGCGTCCGATATATATTTTTTTAATATAAAATTTTCAAAGTATTTAGGCTTAATTCCATTGTTGTTATTTTTATAAATCCTCCTTATACGTATTTTTAATCAAATCCCATTTTACATTCCAGCTTAAATGGCGTGATCTGATGGAAAAGGACGAGGCCGTGAAATGTTTCTATTTGGATGGCGAGACACATGCCAAGTTCATGAAGACCCGTCGTGATGGTGAACCCAACTATGATATGCTTGTTGTGTAAGGCCACATCCAATTTATATGCAATAACTATCAATTTATACATATACTCTATAATAACATATAACTTAAGGAAAATGTACTTCAAGGGAAAACTCTTGCATAAAAGATTTTAAAAAATATCCCCATATGGATTTAATCACATATTAAATAATGATAATAAACCGATACTTTATTCAGCTTCATATATACAAACATTTCCTGCATTCGCAAAGCATTCTCATCATTGTTCTATGAATTTTCTTTTTTCTGTTGCAGAAATCCTTGTAAACGTCAACGCACTTGCTAAGCAGCTTATACCTTTCCTGACTCCATTAGCCTCCCCACCTCCTTAATTTTTTACTTTATACGTTCAAGTGTAACGTATATTTGCTGTTCTGTACATACATATAATTGGCAAGCAAAAAATCGCTGTTTTTTTTCTTACATACATTATTTTTTTATATATTTTTTAGATAAGACATTTTTTACACATATCATTTTGTTTTGGACAAAAACCCGAAAGTAAATTGAAATAAAAAGAAAAAATACACATCACCCTTATTTTCGTTATCTCAAGGCGCTGGCAGTTTCATCGATGAATGTGCTGTTTATACCCCCCTACACCACATAGTGGTAAGGGTATTATGTATTTGTGCATTTGACTGTAACATGGAGAAGGAAGGATATATATATATATATATATATATATATATATATATATATATATATATATATATATATACCTCTGCCAACATGTACCAAGATCGGTCCGGATTTGGATATATCTGCATCGGATTTCGGGTTAATTGTGCACCAAATTGTCAATATCAGTCCAAATGAGTTGAATTTTTGCACATCCGACTAAATTCAGCCTTTAAGCAAGTATATCGAATTTGGTGAAAATCGGTTCAGATATAGCTATAGCTCCCATATATATGTTTCATCCGATTTGGTGTTAAAGTCCCTCACATTTGCAATATACACCCCACAAGAATGATATTTGGTACCAGATATCAGATACAGCCCAGAAACACCTCTGTCAAATTTTATCAAGATCGGTTCAGATTTCGATATAGCTCCCATATATACCTTCAACCGATTTCGGTTTAATTGTGCACTAAATGACCAATGCCCCGAATTTTGGCACATCCGACCGAATTCAGTCTAGAAGCAAGTGCATCGAATTTCGTAAAAATCGGTTGAGACGTAGCTCCCATATATATGTTTCATCCGATTTGGTCTTTAAGTTCCTCACGTTCATAATATGCATTCGACAACATTTATATTTGGTACCAGATATCTTATAGAGCTCAGAAATACCTTTGCCAAATTTTATATAGATACTCTAAGATTTGGATATGTAGCTCCCATTTATATCCTTAATCCGATTTCAAGTTTATTTTGCAAATAATGACTAACACCAGCCCAAATGAAGTGAATTTCGGGGAGACTTTAGGATAATTGAAGAACGATTTTCTGCCCAAATTTGATATTTTAATTAACATTTCTGTTATGTTTATAGTCTTTAGATGATAGTATTGAACCACTTCAAATAGTACCTCCAAATTTTCAGAATTTTGAAGGTGTGAATCAAACCTTCTGCCTGAATTTTTCACTATTTGGCATTCATGACACCCAGTTGTTGCGTCTCTTTTTCAAAATTTCTCAAAATAAAACTCCATGTCGCATTTTTTATTTAAATATTAGAGAAAAAAGATGAAATTTATTTTTAATATTTTTTTTTTGTTTTCGTTTTTAAAATCGTGTATATACGCATTTTTCTCGACAATTACCAGCAATAGTAGATGTTTTGTTAAAAGTTTTCGTTTCGTTAAAATTCGTTAAACGATGCTCGTCAGTTTTGTATGATTAAAATTTGTGTCTGTGTGTGAGTGTTTCTTTTTTTTGTATAATAATATTAATAATAATTTAATTTAAAAAAGATAGATCCCCGATTGGTTTCTAGGCGGGAGATAAAGTAGATCTCAAGTAACCTAAGAAGATAACAAAACACTCAAAATATTATCTGGAAACAAAAGGTGAAACATTTAACAACCTGTTGCATTTGGATCACTGATGCCACTACCGGTCCCACCATTGCCTGCGCCACCACTACTACCACTTGCTGCGGTTGGCGGTGAAGTACACACTACGGAAGTACTATTCGTTATATTGGAATTTGTGCTGCCACTTATCAGGGTTTGAACTCTTTGTTGTTGTTGTTGTACATTAGAAGCCTGCTTTTTGTTGTGATTTGAAGTAGATGGTTGATTGCTGGAAAACAAACAAAAAATAGAATTATTTGAATATTTGGATCTCATTCTCATACTTTTTTTCCGCATCCTTTTTATTGTTGTATATGGCCAATTCAACTTCAGTGTGTTGGGTACTCATGTGACGCACCCATTCCTGTGGTGTTTCAAAACGTCTGAAAATTTTATAGAAATCATTTTAGTACACATATTCCGCAAATTTGGAATGAGGATACCTACGTATTGCATATATCACATTGAAGACAAACATGTTCCGAGGTATTTTCTTGTTGCTAAAAATGAGAAGAAGGAAATGCTATTCTTAAAGGATTTTCTTTTAAAAATAATTTGGGCACATTGCCCCACTTGTTTTTGTTGACTTATGTCGAGCTTAGCACTTTGAGGTTAAGTTACATTCTTTACCCTAATTTTCTATGATTTTCTACCCTCCACCAAAGTATGGAGGTTATATTATGTTTGTCATTCCGTTTGTAACACTTCGAAATATATATTTTAGAACCCACAAAGTATTTTTATTTATATCGGCATAAAATTTTATGTCGATTTAGCTATGGCAGTCAGTGGAAATCACTCTAGCTTCCGAACGAGATGAAGTTGGTTGATAAAATTTTACTCAAATGTATATTATGTCTGCAGGACTTTTTGGTATTGAAAATGGGCCAGGTAGGTCCACGTTTTGGTAGAGCCCCCATATAACGGTACCTGCCTATTTTCGGTATTTTGATGATTTTAGCGACTTAATTCCCCGGAATTGTTTTAAAATTTATTATTTGAAGTTCGTAATAGATACTACAGCCTATGACAGAAAATTGTCTGTGCAGGTGCACGTCTTCGTATAACCCCCATATAAAGGTACCTCCCGATATTCGGTACTTTGGTGATTTTAGCGACATTATTCACCGGAATTGTTTCAAATTTGGTATTTGACGTTCGAAAAGGGTACTACAGCCTATGGCGTAAAATTGTCTGTGCTTATTACTACTCTGAGGGACTTAAAACTCCAAATCGGATGAAACATATATATGGGTGCTAAAGCTATATCTGAAGCGATTTTCACAATTTGGTATACTTGCTTATAGACTGAGTTCGGTCGGATGTGCCAGGTCATTTGCACTGATATTGGCCATTTGGTGCACAATTAACCCGAAATCTGTTGAAGATATATACGGGAGCTATATCTAAATTTGAACCGATGTTGATAAAATTGAACAGAGGTGTTTCTGGGCTGTATCTGATATCTGGTACCAAATATCATTAATGTGGGGTGCATATTGCTAATGTGAGGGACTTTAACACGAAATCGGATGAAACATATATATGGGAGCTATAGCTATATCTAAACCTATTTTCACCAAATTTAATGTACTTGCTTCTATGCTGAATTCGGTGCGATGTGCCAAAATTCAGGTCATTTGGACGGATATTGGCCATTTAGTGCACAATTAACCAGAAATCGATCGAAGAAATCTCCAATTTGGTCCAAATCCGGATACAACTTGGCGAGGTATTTCTTGGCTTTAAACGGAATTCGGTCGGATGTGCCAAAATTCCGGTTATTTGGCCATTTAGTGCAAAATTAACTCGAAATCGGTTGAAGATATGTACGGGAACTATATCTAAATTTGAACCGATTCTCGTCAATTTCAAAAGTCGTCGTCCTTGGGCCAAACGAATGTTGTTTGGAAAATTTCATCCCAATCGGATAATAAATGCGACCTGCATTTTGTTCACAGCAATGCATGGACAGATGGATGGACGGACGGACTGACATGCACAAATCGACTCAGAAAGTGATTCTATGAGGCTCCTCAAAAGTGACTATGGGTCTATCTGGCTTCTTTCTCCATATTACAAACAAATGCCCAAAGGCATAATACCCTTACCAACTTGTGGTGTAGGGTATAAAAATATGTGATTTTCGACTTGGGTCAGCGGGAAGCTGAAGCTTTTATAGAATTTAAAAAGCTCTGAGTCTATTGTTTGTGAAACGAGGGTCATTACAAGAAGTGAGTTGTAATTTAGTTCATAAACAACGGTTCTTCAGATTCCAACCATAATTCCAGCCAACTCTAACATCGACCCAAGTCTTTGCTGCCGGACCCTAAACCTCCCATTACATTAACTTTACAACTTCTAATTACCGATATTCTACGTCTCTTCTTTGGCACATAGGATGACTTTGATGGAGCGGCGGCGGCGGCCGTGGCGACAGTAGTAGTTTCACATGCAACCGGTGGCGGAGGTACAGTAAAACTGCTTGATGTTCCTGGTGTCGGTGCGGCATGTGTTTCCAAGTGACGCACCAGAGAAGTTTTATCCTCGCAAACTTTCTTGCAAATGTCACAGGAGAAATACGTTTCGAAATCGTTGGCAACATTCGAGATCAATTTGCAATTGTCGCCATCCCCCATTTTCAGGGAAGTAGTTGACGTTGGAGTCGCCTGTGGCTGTGGTGGAGTTTCGGTTTTAATTTTTTGCATTTTATACTCATGATTTTGTGCTGCAGTCTTTTTGTTTAGAGACGACGACGACGATGGCAAGGAGGAGGCGGCTGATGTTGGATGCAATCCATTGCCATGATGTATAGCGGAGGCGGAAGAGGAGCTGGCTGCCATCCATTCAGAGGGCTCTTCCTTAATGGCCACATATGTGGGGATTGTGACCACATCTTGATGTACCACAACCTGCGTGGAGGTAGTTGGTGGCAGGGATTGTGCCGGTACTGTCACAGCTATGGATGACGAAGCTGTGGTGGAAATTAAATGCTGGGAATATTTGTAATTCTCATTTCGTGCAGAGGAGACATTATAATCTGCTGCGTGTTCGCTGGACAAATGCATTTCTTGGTCATATTGGGAGTCTTCCACACATTCATTGCCCGCAGTTTGTTGCAAGTATTCCGGACAATGTGTGTGGCAAATATTGCCATTGTTCTCCATCTGAGCGTGGCCATCCCTGGCCACCAGTATCTGTTGGGTTGCATGATTTTCCGTCGTCATACGTGTACAATCGTTACATCCAATTTCGTTGCATATGGAAGATGATGATTCATCCCTGAGTGTGGTCGAAGACGATGACGATGACGACGACGTGGTTGTTGTTTCGGCGGTATAACAGCATTTTTCACCCGGATCAATGGCCACATGTTTGTTCACGCTGATGGGATGTTGGCCAGCCAACTTGCCAATGTTGACCGCAGACGGCACGGTTATGGTATTCAAGGGTTTCGTGGACTTAACAATAACTGGACTGGTCTTGGGCAATGTTGAGACATTGAGGCTTCTGGAAACCGTTGATGCCTGTTGTTCCACCAAATAGCGTACCGAAGTGGGCCCATTTGTCAATGGCATGCGTATCAAGTTGTATGTGGCACCATTAGCCGGAGATGTTTGTATGGTTTCGCTGCTACGATTTGTTTGCACATTTGTAACGGGATTTGAGGTTCGACATAGACCACGTATCTTAAGGATCTCTCCACCCTTCAGCACTTCACTCAAAATATCATTCGATACCGTGGCCTCTCCCATATACATATATTGTACTAAGATCTGTATGGCACGATGACTTAAATCGGGCGGTAAGACAATGTGAAAATTGCTGCCATTGCTCGAAATCGGCGAGGTCTCAAAGATGCTCGAAAAGAACTGACTGCATGAGCTTAAGATGAATTTGTGGGCTGATATACCAACGATGGGCATGGAATTATTCGTTGATATTGTACTGTTGGAGCTGTATAAAACAACATCGGCATATTTTTCATTTCTGTGGAAGGAAAGGAAAATATGAGTATGGGAGGACAATCATTTGGAAACGGGGAGACCTACTTGTATAAAGTTGCGACGGAAGAATTCAAATAAGAATGGTGCGAGTCCCATTTAAGGTGGTAATTTTCAGCAGTCATTTTTAATAGATTATCATTGGACCTGCAATAAAAGAGAGAGGGAGAGAAAAGATGGTCTTTAATAAACATTGTTGAAAATCCCTATATCATGGGGCCTCAGAAAGCTGCAAAAGTCCAGGACTTGGCTCCCCAAAACATTGTCATTCTTGTGAACAAAATTTTGCAAAAAGTATTCGTTTGGCCCAAAGACGAATCCTATTGAAATTGGTGTTAATCGGATCAGCTTTAGATATAGCTCCCATAAATCTTCAACCGATTTCGGGTTAATTGTGCACGAAGTGGCCAATATAAGTCCAAATGACCTGAGTTTTGGCACATTCCACCCAATTCAGTCTAGAAGCAAATAAGTCAAATTTGGTGAAAATCGGGAATTATGTTTGGTATCAGATATAGCCTAGAAATACCTCTGCCAAATTGTATCAGGATTCAGGTTTGGATATAGCTCCCATATATATCTTGAAACGATTTCGGTTAATGCATTTGACAGCAATGATATTTGGTAACCGATATCGTATAGAGCTCGGAAATACCTCTGCCAAATTTTATCAAGATCGGTTCAGATGTTGATTTAGCTCCCATATATATCTTCAACCGATTTCGGGTTAATTGTTCACCAAATGGCCAATATCTGTCAAAAAAGTCCTCAATTTTGGTACATCCGACCGAATTCAGTCTAGAAGCAAATAAGTCAAATTTGGTGAAAATCGGGAATGATCTTTGGTATCAGATATAGCTCAGAAATACCTCTGCCAAATTGTATCAGGATTCAGGTTTCAATAGAGCTCCCATATATATCTTCAAACGATTTCGGTTAATGCATTTGACAGCAATGATATTTGGTAACCGATATCGTATAGAGCTCTGAAATACCTCTGAAAATTTTTTTAGGACCGGTTCAGATTTGGATTTAGCTCCCATATATATCTTCAACCGATTTCGGGTTAATTGTTCAACAAATGACTAATATCTGTCCAAAAGTCCTGGGTTTTTGTACATCCGACCGAATTCCGTCTAGAAGTAAGTACATAAAATTTGGTGAAAATCGGCTCAGATATAGCCATAGCTCCCTTATATATGTTTCATCCGATTTTGGTGTTAAGGTCCCCCACATTCGTAATATGCCTTTGACAACAATGATATTTGGTACCAGATACCTTATAGAGCTCGGAAATACCTTTACCAAATTTTATCTTGAACGGCTAAGAATGGGATACTTCAACCGATTTTGGGTTAAAATAGTTAATATCAGTCCAAATGACCTATCGAATTCAGATTAGAAATAAGTACTTTAAATTCGATGAAAATCGGTTCAGATATATATGTTTCATCCCTCACATTTGCAATATGTACCGCACAAGAATGATATTTGGTACAAAATTGTGCACAAAATGGCCAATATTAATCAAAATGACCTGAATTTTGGCACATCCGACTGAATTCAGTCTGGAAGCAATTAAATAGAATTTGGTGAAAATCGGTTCACATATAGCTATAGATCCCACATATATGTTTAATCCGATTTTGTGTTTAAGTCAACCACATTCGTGGTGTAGGGTATCATTTAGTTGGCCCCGCACGATTTTGACTTTTCCTTACTGGTTATTTCTTCAAGTTAACATGCGTTATTCTATAGTTGCATGTGTTTTTCTAGAGTTTCATTCGTTTTTCTCCCTTTAATGCATTTTCTCACGTTTTATGCGTTTTTTTCTTCTGTAAAACAACGCCACATTGACATCACCACTCTCACTCAGCTGCCATATGTTTTTGGTTACCAAGACAACTGACAACCCAACCCCTCAGATATGGCAACACCAATCACTTGTTTATAACAAAAAAAAATTGTTGTGTACACAGACGAGAAGAGCTTGTTGTGTTTTGTTGGCTCCTTCAGGCTCATAAATAAGAAAAAAACAAAACTGAAAACAAACAAATTTTAATCGAAAAACATAAAACGGCATGTCTGTGTTTCGAACAGATATGGAATTTGATCGAAAATTAATTGAATTAATTAAGGCCAATCCCATGTTGTACGAGAAGGAACTGCGAAGTTCACCCTACACAGATATGAAAAAGAAATTTGAGCTATGGAGTCATATTGCCACTTCTCTGGACTGTGACAGTGAGTATTGGTGGTCTTACAGGGCTAAACTCCATTTAATGCGAGATTTCTTACAGCCAAATACTGTCTGCTGCGATGGAAAAGTTTAAGGGGGAAATATCGACGAGAGGTGGCCAAGCTGGGCAAGGAACCGACATGGGAATTGTTTGACCAAATGAAATTCATTGATAAACACATTAAATATCAAGGGTAAGTGGATTGGAAATACTTTCCATCAATATTTATGGCTTAAATTTACATTTTAGAACCCAACGTAATCTTAAGAGTCCGGAACACCAAAGTGTTCCATTCAACTGCAATATGGAGGCTGAGCAATTAATTGAAGAAATTCACGAGGAGGACTATGACGATGATCCCCTGCAAGAGGCAATGGATGAACAAATAAGTACATTTGTACCCTATAACACCACAAGAGAACGAATGTTTCCATGCCAGCAGCAGCAACAACAAACGATTATACCCAGCAATACCACGACGACAACAATTATCTCCTCACCAATGCAAAACAGTGGCGCCATGAAACGTATCGAAGCCCTGCTAGAGGGCTTGGGTGAACATAATCGCAATAAGGCCGAAAAACGTATTGTTGCCTATCTGTGCAAATGCCAGCTGAAGACGTTAAGTAATGAAGATGTGGATGATGTTGATATTTAATAAGGACGTTTACTTATTTTTCGAATGGACTAATCACAAGAATATTGCTGCTTACTAATATTTAGTATATAAGGGAAGTTTGTTTTTCAAGTTCAATGCGATCGTAACAACATGAAGTTAAGTTAAAATTGTGTACGGAACGTTTCGAGAGAAGAAATCAAAAGGGATTTTGTGACAATTGCTAAACCACATGATTTGTTGTAATGTTGATACTCATGGAAAGGGTACAAAAGTTTTATTGAAAATATATCCGGAAACGTTCAGAGAAACAGAAAAGAGTTTTATAGTTCAAAATGCAAAAGATTGGAGGGATCAGCTTTATTGAATTAAGGCACCAAAAGATGTAACCATTTGAATATTTCCAAAAAAAAAAATGGATCTCGAAAACAAAAAATATAAAGAGTTTTTAAGAAAATCAAGAAAAAATGTGAAGCTGTTACAACAACAACAAAACGTGCGTGAGCCGTTTAGACCAGGGTTGCCAAAAGGATAATAAGTAAAATTTCTAATACACTCCACCATTTGGAACGAATTTGGCAATTTTCAAAAAAATAAAATCAATTAAAAATTCCGTTAAAATCTTAAAATTACAATATTCAAATGCACAGACAATTTTCTGTCATATCGGGAGATACCATTATATACGGGCTATACGAAGGCATGGACCTGCACAGACAATTTTCTGTCTTAGGCTGTAGTATCCATCACGAACTTCAAATGCCAAATTTGAAACAATTTCGGTGAATAATGTAGCGATAATCATCAAAATACCGAGTATCGGGAGGTATCGTCATATGGGGCGTATACGAAGACGTAAACGTGCTTACGAAGTTTTTTGCCATGAGTTGTAGTACTCATTAAGATCTTCCAATACGAAATTTGAAACGAATCCGGTGAATAATGTTGCTAAAATCATAAAACTACCGAATATAGGGAGGTACCGTTATATGGCGGCTATACGAAGACGCGAGCCTGCACGGACAATTTTCTGTCATAGGCTGTAGTATCCATTACGAACTTCAGATGCCAAATTTGAAACAATTCCGGCGAATAATGTCGCTAAAATCATCAAAATACCGAATATCGGGAGGTACCATTATATGGGGGCTGTACGAAGGCGTAGACCTACATAGCCCATTTTGAATACCAAAAGTCCTGCAGACATAATATACATTTCAGTAAAAATTTACCAATCTGCTTCATTTCGTTCGGAAGCTAGAGTGATTTCCACACAGAACAGACGGACGGACATCGGTAAATCTACATAGAATTTTATTCATTTACATTTAAGACTTAGTGAGGTCTAAAATGTATATTTCGAGGTGTTACAAGCGGAATGACAAACCTAATATACCCTCCATACTATGATGGAGGGGTAAAAAATCACCCTTTATTTCAGAAGGCTTTGGGTTTATTTTCAATGGCATTCTACGTGGAGCGCCATCTATTGAAATTCAAAATATATGAAAGTATTTTTTTTCGCCCTAGAGTATGCAATTTAGAGGCTATTAATTGCATACTCTAGGGCGAAAAAAAATACTTTTAAAATTTAAAAAGTAATTCATACGAACTAGATTTTAAAATAAAACTTAAAATGTGAATTGGCCGAGTTTTGAAAAATGAATTGAAGGCAGAAAATATGGACATCCCAGCCGACTCAGACAGAGGTTCAAATAATGTAATCCTCTCCCTATATTTTCGTAAATCTAATTTCCATAATTTACTCATTTTGCTATGGAGCCCCAACTGCTCAGTATTCATCGAATTCTCACAGAGGTTCAAATAATTCAGTCCCTTTCCGATATTTTAGTACATCTAATTTCTATAATTTACTCATATTGCTGATGAATCATATAACCTATGGAGCCTTAATTTCTCAGAGTGTATCGAATTCTGGCCGCAGCAAAAAAAAACATGCTATTCAAATTAAACAATTAATATCGATCGTTACTATTTTTAAAATAAATTTGAATAAGTAAAGAAATAATTATCTTCCATACCCGCCATTAAGCTCCCCAACACCGTAAGGGTCACCCCCAAATCCTAAAATAATTAAATTAATAAATAGGTTATATCCTTGCACCCATTTATTTGATTTTCTCCCATAAAAAAGTCCTGCAAGACAGTATTCATGAAACACCAACAACAATTCATTTTGGTCAGCCACCCTCACCAATAGTACAAACTGTCCATGTCCTGTACGCGCAGAGAACATACACAACATCCTTTTTGCTCAAGTAAAACAGAAGCCAACAAAAATCGAAATCGAGTTATTGCCTTTGTCACAGCCAAAAAATACACAAGAAACAACAGCACAACAACAAAAAAATCGAAACTTTAAACCCCGCCACATTGCCTCAACGGCAAGCAGGCAACAACTACATGCCTACACCAACATCCTAAGTGAGGAGGACGAGGAGGTCGTAGTGGAGCAGCACCCCGCCGTGTTTTACGACGGACGATTCACTTACTCATTCAGTGTACCCACCAAATGCTGCAGAGCTCAAGTGCGAGGCATTAACACAAAATTATTGATTGATTTTCACAAAGCAGTCAAGACACACACACACATACAAGGCGGTCGGTCATAGACACAGACATACCAAAAATATAACACAAAAAAATCAATAATTTGCTTAATATTCACTTCATTTTAAGGCAAGTAATAACTTTTTACTCGTTTCATTCAACACTGCACAAATATAACAAGTTTTGGGGTTTAGTTAAATATTTCATCATTTTTTTTTAATATTTTTGAGATTTTTTTTTCAAACTTAAGCGCCTTTTCTGGGAAAAGCTTTGAAACTTTACAGTACCACTGACTTAACAGATGTCACAGAACGGCATAAGGATCGTTATTTTTTATTATTTTATCTCCACCCCCAATTGTTATTTTATTAACTTCATTCACTTTCTTTTAACAAAAAGAAATATTGTTCATTTTTTGCCATTAATTTTTGTTGCTATTTTTTTTAATTTGGAATACCAAACTTTTGCTGTTGTACCTACTTTTGCGTGCGTTGGTGCGTGGTGTTGTGTGCTCAAAAGTCAAAGTAAAAATGTTTGAGAGTCCTTATGTGAGTAGTCCTTGTTGTGTACTGTTTTGTTGGCGCTTTATTTATGCTGCTTCTTGTTTTCTTTGTGTAATGATGAACCTCTTTTTTTGGTTGGCGTCGTCGTCATCGTCATCATCATGGCTGTGGAGCACATCACACAATGGAATTTTGCGCGCCTTCTATTTCTACTTTCCTTTTTTCTGCATTACTCTCATGTGCTCTCTGGGTTTTGTTTGTTACCGTTAAACAAATGTCATACGTCATTGTCTCTTTTTTGGCATTTCTCTCTCTTCCTTGCTTAATAATACCACCCATTTATTGAGCACTGTACTCATTGAATTTGTACTCTCACCTAAAGTTACCGTTGCAAAACAAATTGTTGTTTGTGTCTCCTACATTTTCTTGTGTTTGTGTGGGAGAGACGTTTTTAAACAGGAGTTTTTGTTTGTTATGTTATTGGGAGGGGGTGTATGTGTGCAATTCTCCTTTTGCTGTTGCTTCCTTTTGCAAATGTTTGTTGGCAGGTTATTGTTGTTGTTGCTCGTGGCATTATTGATTTTTTGTTGTCTGATTGTCGGTAAATTTGTTTTTGACATGCGGCTAAAATGGAGATAAGCAACAACTACAATGCTGAGTATTTGGTGTTTTTATTTCTCAGTGAGAAGACATAACTGATTTTATCGATTGGCGCCAGATAAAAGGTGAATTTGTTCAATAAGAAAGATTTAATAAATTTGAATTAATTTTCTTAAAAGAGTATTAATAATATTGGAAAAAATAGATAACGGTATAATGAGACATGTAACTCAGTGCTGAAAAATATTACTATTATTAAAAGAATCAGTAAAAAATAATGAAAAAAAACTAGATCAAAATCTTTTAAAGGTAGGCTCCATCAGCCGTAAATTTCGCCCTAAGTAGCTAATATTTAGCAATAGTCTCAAAGAGGATTCCATCAGGAGATTTCCTTGTCCTAAGATGATAGTATTTAGCAATTAGGGATTACATTTATACTACCAAGGTTTTGTAACACCCTCAAAATATGGTCCCAGTAAAATAATTTATTATTTCTTCATTTATTGTCAAATAATAATAGTTGTTCTATTGCAACATAATAAAATGTTATTTCAACATTTTTTTAGGATAATTTTATAGAATCTAGAGATAAAATTCAAAAATTAATTTAAAAACAATCTCCTATAAAAAAAAACTTAACCTAACTTTCTTCTTGATCATCATTAGTCTTTGGAATTTTGGCCGAGGAAACATCATCATCCTCCTTTTCAGTCTCTCCATCATTGGCCGCATCACAACTTCTCTTTTCCGCCTTAGTTTCCTCACTTCCAGGCTTTCCAGAATTGCTTTCCTTCATTGCGGCCGTTTCCATGGCAGTCTGGTGGGCTGCTGAGGTATCACATTTCAATAGCTCGCGTAACATCATTGTAGCATAAGCGGCAGTGGGCAAACAAAAATCCAATATCAATGCTTGATATTTTTTATCATCGCCACCCTCGGAGGCATTGTTGTTGCCCCGCTTTCCCTTGAGATCGTCCAGTGTTTTTCCTTTGAATTTTTCAAAATCCGATAGAATCAAAGTATCTTCGGGTGTGGCATAGGAACGGAATTCCCAAGACATTTCAGTGGGTTTAATTAGGATTTTTCGATAGGCTCCAGCCATTGAAAAGGTTTTGACATTATGTTTCAGTTTCTCTGAACTCAAATTGTATTGGGCCAAAGTTTCTTCGTACCATGTGGCAATTTCATTATTAGGATAGGTAATGTCATGGCCTGGTAGGGGCAATACCACATCATAGATGTTGTAACTTCCTGACTGTATATCTTCTTCGGTGAGCGCCTTAACTTTACGCTTAAAAATAGATTCAGAATTATTAGTATTATCAGTCTCTGGTTGCTGTGCTTCAGTTTCTTCTTGTGATTCTTCGCACACACCCTGCTCTTCGGCATCTTCTGCTTGTAAAGTTTCAGTGATTTCTATGTCTTCATCCAAATCATCTTTATTACGATATACCAAGTCTCCGGGTATCAATTTAAGGCCAAATTCTTTGATGCGACGGGAGGCCAACTGATTGAATACCAAACTTTGGAAGGCATGGGGATACAACAACAACATATTGCGGGGAATCTAAAATAAAACATAAATTACCGATATTCTTAAATGGAAATAAATAAGACCTTACCTTTCTCAAGGCCGTGGCATAATCACTTTCCCCATACTGGGCCAAACCATCCAGTAGTTTCTTTTCAATAAAACGATCTGTGCGAAACATATCCGCTGCCGCCTTTGAGTTACGTTCCTTCCACCAAGTTTCACGGATATTCTTCAGGAATGGTATATCATTTTCTCGAGGCTTTAATATCAATTCACAGGCCAATTTATAATCGGCCTGCAATAGGGCCACACCAACTTCATAGGTTGGTATAGCCACAGAGTTACCAAAACGTTGCAAGCCAAAATAGTTTATAAAACCGTTTTCCTTTACATTCTGCAGTGATTTTTCAATGGCTTCCTTTTCCCCCGTTAAATGCCTTAAAGCAATACGAAAACGATTGCCTTTCAATTGTCCCAGTTTCAATACCTCTTTGGAGAATTCAAAGTTTCCAATTTTTACACCATTTAGAAACTTGATCGAACCCACAATTTGTCGTGGTGTACGTTTTTTGATACAGAATTTTTGAGTTGTTTTGGCACGTTTGTCTTTGGTTCCGCAATAGTTCACCTGGGATGGTCGTAAACTGAAAACAGAGGAGATATGTTTTTTAGTAAAATTTTAAACATAATTTTCATTTGCTTACTTTAATTTATTGGCCATGGCCACTGCCACCTCACTGGTGTCCAAATTTTCCTTATGTACCAAAAAGTGTACATATTCCTCGGGGAAGGTCCAGCGATTGCGGTCACGTCCCTTTGGTTTCATTACACGTATGAATTTTTTGTCATCCCCTTTGCCAAGTTGATCACCACCAACTGTCGAGCTAACTAGTTTGCCCTCGTAGAATTTCTTAATAATTTTATGGACATCGGTACGTTTGTCTTTGTCCAATTCCGTGACATCAACATAGACATGGGACTGCTCAGGTGTGGCATTAGGGTCATATTTCGATTCGGCCAATTCTTTGATTTGTTTCCACACTTCTTCGGTGACCACGTCTTTTAGGGAATCTTTTGCTGCCTCAGCTTCTTCGGGGCTCAGTGCTGTTGTTAAAAATTTTATAAATTTGAAAATTTTTCATATTTTTTTATTTTTTTTATTTTGGAATACATACTCTCGTCCTTGGCCTCGGGGATTTCCAAGTTGTTTAACTCCAATACCTTGCCATTCAAATCGATTTCATTGACATGGAAGTCAGAGAAACGTGACTTTAACACTCCCGTAAATCCCTCACCCTCGCTCACATATTGGGTTATGCCCACTTGATCTTCCTTCAAGCTTTCCCTGACCTGGAAAGGTTGTCTGCAATGGATCATTGGACATTAAATTATTATCAATTTCAAATTTCTTTAATGTAAACAAAACTTACTTTTCACGCTTAACAAAGCCGCCATCTCTCCTGCCATGACCGCCATCCGGACCATGCCGGCGATTGTTGTGATATGGTTTTCTATTGTCATTATTATGGAATGGTCTTCTCTGTGGTTTGTTAAATCTTTTATTCATCTGCTTACCCATTTCTTTGCGAAGATTAAACTATTTTTTAAAGAAATATGAAAAAACGCGTGTCTTTGAAAGGCTGGAAGAGTTTAAAAAAAGGCACAGACCCATAGAGCCGGCAAACAATCGATGGCACTACCGATAACTTCGATAAAATCGATTAATTGCTAAGTTACCGTATTTCATCAAGGCAAATCGAATAAACCAGCGAAAGAACGATATGGTATCTTCGCTCTGAGAGAAATACTTTGCTCAGAGATGACGAAACAGAAAAATTAGAGTAATAAGGGAAATAGATTACAATGTGTACAAATTAATTAATTGCAATTAATTAATTAATTGAAATTGACTTAAAATATAGCCATAGACTTTTTTTTTGATTTTTGTACTATTTCTGAGTATCATTTTCCGTTAAAAGTTGTAGTTGGTAACACTATTTTGCCTTGCGTTCTTTAGATGAAATGGCCGACCTATATACCTCTTATTGTGACTGAGAAAAGTATTATATTCCTTTTTATTTTAAATTATATTAGTAAAAAAGGTAAATTAAACTTTAATTACTCTACTAAAAACTCGATGTCAATCACAGATCCTAAAGAAATAAAGCTAGATAAAATAAAGCACTGAGGGAACTAAATAGCTAAGTGCTGGGCAAAGTTCCAATAGTTCGATTCAGGGAATAGTCACTTTTGAACGAGTAACAAAACAGAACAGGCTTTCAAGACGCCGACATATTCAAGCATAAAACAAATTAAATTAATATTTAATTAAATAAATAACAAAAATGGTTTACATCCATTTCCCCTCGAATTTAACCGAAGAGGAGCACATGCTCCAAGCTAAATATCAAAAACTAAAGAAGAAGGTATGTTTTCTAACCCAACCCAAGTGAATACCATTCGCATCTCAGACTGTCTATGTTTGTTTTTCAGAAAAAAGCCCTGCAGCAAATGAAAGCACCCAAACAGGAGCCGGAGAAACCAACCCTAAAACGTCCCACAGACGCTCGTGATGCCCGTGAAGTTGCCCGCAAGCTTATCAAGAGCGGTGCTATCCCAGCTATACAAAAACAACAAACCAAACAAGATCAGACATCATTTAAACGTCCCAAGGGGCAGGAACGTAAACGTCCCGTACCCGAGTCATCGGTGGCCGCCTATCAACCGTTTTCTTCGACACAAAACGATGTGGCCCAGGAGACAATTATCAGTGAAATTATCAAAGAAGAGCCGCGTATGCAAAATCTCTATCAACATTTTGCCTCTGAACGTGATCGCGAGGAACGTGGACTGGGTGATAAAAATAACCCATTGGATTCACAGGGCGATAAACCGCGGGCCGGCAATACAATTTTTGTTTCCGGCAATAAGGTGACGGAGGAGTTCCTGAAGAAAACATTCAATGATTATGGTACCATTGTCAATGTGTCCATGGAAATTGAAAAGAGGTAGGAAGACACCAAAATCATGTAATACAAAAATATGTAACCTAATATTTCATTACAGTCGCGGTTTTGTCACCTTTGCCAAACCGGAGTCCGCAGACCGTGCCATAGCCGAAATGCATGGCAAAAATGTCAATGGCATCAATCTGCAGGTGCAACTGGCTAGACGTCAGCCACAAATTGAGCCCATAAATGATGCTTCTTCATCGGCCGTTTGGTCATCAATTGGTAAGTGTAGATATCCCTAGGTGATCATATTTGACAATTTTTTAAATATTTCTTTGTTTCTTTTAGCTGCCAGTAAATCACAAAAAGGTAGCCACAAAGATCGCCGTGAAATGGTCCAGTATGATGTAGATTTTTTAAGTTAAGCAAGTACACAACAGAATATCTTCGAAATAAGTCTAGTTATATAATTAGATGTAAGTACATTTTGCTTTATTATTTTCTTCTTAAAATTATAACCTGCTAAGTCTTCAAATGAATTTTTGACTCCGGAATTTAAATTATATATTTTGGCATACTTGCATTTAAAGTTACCATACAAGTTAAAGTTAAGAAGAAACTGCACAGTTTTGAACAATAAATTGCAAACAAAAACCACAAGAACAACAATAACACATTTATCAACCATGTCCGATACCTGCTTGGTAAAGAAATGCATCATCAGCTCGTTCTGTAACAATAGTACGGCCATTACAACCAAAACAGCAAATGAGAATACAACATTTACAACAAATGAAAATAGGTCATTAACAACAACAATACATAATTCATTCCGAACAACTAATTTGAATAAAATGGAATGGTATTCACTACTAAATTGGAGATTTAAGGTGTATAACTGTTGGTTAACAGCTCAGAACAATGGAATGGAATACTAAATTGGAAATACTAAATTGGAGACTAAATGTGTATATCTTTGAATAGCGTTATTATTACGTCTGGAAAAAGCCTGAATTCGGAAGGCAAAATTTGTCAGGTGATAGGATATTTTAATGCCCAATGGGGATCAAGACCTCGGGAAATACACCAATTGTGAACATTTGTTTTATCCTCGACTCAAACGGTCTCAATATCATCGTATCCGTAAACGAAACAGTCGACTTGGTAATCTCTGAACGTTGCACTGTTTTTCAACCATAGGAAAGCTGATTAGCAAGAATTCAAAAAATTCATCTAGTAAGCATTGCAAAAAGCTGTCCGACTTTCCGGGACATTGCTCTATCGATTCCTAACAAACCCTTGGTCGAAAATCTGAAGTACCAACGAGTTAAGACTACAATTCACGAGAAAGACGAGGGAAGAAGAATGAAGATCGTGCTTTATATAATTCACTCTTAAAGTTAAAAGCTTTGTAGCTGCAAAAATGGGCATTGGCTACAAAAAGCTTTGTAAAATTGGTGGAAGAAAATTGTGGGCTACCTTAAATTTCATCTTGAATCCTGGAAAATAGGACAGAATGGCTGTCACATCAAATGTTGCATAATTGGAACCAATAGGAGTAAAGTCTTGATAATGCAAGATTCCCATACACAGGATGAGATAAAAAAAACTGCAACAAAGTCAAACGCCATAATTTTTACATTTTTTTTAAATTTAATTAAATGAAGCAAAATATGTAGGAAATAGCATCAAATTTTAGAATAAGTTTAGATTTGTTCGAACTGTTCACCTTTGGCACGAATTATGGCCTTTAAACGGCCAATGAAAACGTCACACCCTGTCCAATTATCGGCGAAGCGCTTGCTTGAGGTGATCGACACTTTCTTATTTTTTTAGTGCCAACCTTGCTTTCCAAAATACTCCAGACACAATAGTCCAACCGGAGACTTTTGTGGCCATTGTGAGCTGGAAATGAAGCGAGGAACCTCATTTTGTAACAATTCTTGATTGGCGCGTGCTGAGTGCGATGGTGCTTAGTCCTGGTGGAATGTCCAAGGTCTGCATCCAAAATGTTTGCGTGTCCAAGGCTTTAATTTACCCTCCAGAATATTTTTCGCGATAATATTCGGCATTTATTCTGATGCCACGGTCGATTAATACGAGCGGGGAGCGACCATCGGTTGTTATGGCGGCCCGCACCATCACCGTGGCCGGCGCTTGAGTTCTGGTGGCCAACCGAAGGTGCACATTTTCAGCTGACCTCTTTGGCAAGTAAACACGATCATTTTGTTTGTTTACAAACTGCTGGACAACGAAAGTTTTCTCATCGGAGACGGAGAAAACTAAATTCGGCTCTTCACCTACTTCGGCCAAGCGAAGCTACTCTTTAGCTTTTTTGAGTCTATTTTCTTTCTGATGCGGTGTAAGTTCTTGCATTTTTTTGGAATTTCAATGTTTTTTGCCCGAGCTCATTTTTCAATATTTGCCAAATGGAATATTGCGATATGTTCAGTTCAAGGGTCATTTTTTGGCCACTGCGACGCGGGTTTCGATCAAGTCGCTTCTTTATTTTTCGAACCATTTCTGCTGATGTTGCTGTTTTTTTCCTCCACTTCCTTGTCATATGTCGGGTTACGCTACCAGTAACAGTATCACGGTAACGAGCGATGGTACGAGACACAAAAGATTTATTGAGATTTAAATGCTGGAGTGCTCTAACGATAGCCACTTGTGAGTTTCCAGCCAAATATAAAGAATTCACACTATCACGCTTGAATTCCATCACGAATAACTTTTTTTCTGGAAAATTCTCAACAAAATGGTTTTGTACGCTTGTTAACAATATAATGAGTTGTTACTGGAATAATTTTAACAGCTGTTGGACGAGTGGCTTAGAAATGACAACAATCTGAAGTTGGTTGCAGTTTTTTCATCTCACCCTGTAATGTTTCCTTTACTCTAAGGTCGTACTAAAAGTTCGGCCCGGTCGAACTTAATGTTTTTTACTTGTTTTACCATTGCTTATTCCCCCCTCCCCTTTTCCACATCAAAACAAGTTTTCCAATTTTATTTCGGATAATATTGACTTTGGTCTCACTTTATTATTAAATAAATTTTCGAATTGTTTTTTTTTTTAATGCTAACATTTGAAATAACTAAATGTTAAATATGTGTTTTTCATTATATTTCCAAAAAAAAACTTTAACAAATAACAATAATCATAATAATAGTAGTAGTGATAATAATAATCATAATAAATAAATAGTTGGAGGGGCTAGGTGGTCAATTAAGTAGTCAACAAAAATTATAAAAAAAAAATAAATTATTCAAAACTAAAAAAAATTAACAACAAAACATTGTCATTGTTCTTAAGTACTGGGGGTATTTTTCCAAATGAAAACATTTTTTTAACAATTAATAGATAAATATTTGATTATGTTAAGTTGCGGTTTCATAAAAAAGGATCAAAACAAAAATTAAAAACAAACTTCGTTTTACAAATTCTATTCTAGTAAAAAGTTTTTATTTTTTTGTTATTGTTATATTTAGTAGTTCTCTGCAAAGAACACACAAAACAATTCCAGGGATTTTTTCTCTCCATGGAGTTATAGGTCTGGGTTTGGTTGGCTGGATCGTTTGATAATAATTTTAGGGTTTTTGTAGAAAAATCTTGTAAAAAATTTGTTGTTATTTCTCTTCCATTGCAAAAATATAATTTTTTTATCCCGTTTTTTGTCGTTATAATAAATATGTATGTATGTTTGTATGTAGTTATGATGATGTGTGTCTGAGTTGTAGTTGATTTCGTTGATAAAATATGTTCCAATTCCTTGTAGTTCCGTATTTTTCCTTTGATTTTGTTTTTTAGTTGAGTTTTGAAGGCCACGTTTGTATTTGTTTTCCCTTTTTCTTTCCGGATAATTGAAACAGTTCCTCGCTTCCTCGCTAATTATTTCCATTACAAAAACAAAATTGCTTGAAATGCTTAGAGAGAGCAAAATAATTAATTTTATGTCCCTTAAGTTTCAGGAGGTTTCGGACACCCCTATGACGGACGTCCCTCATGACCGGGTGGATTGAAGTAATCCCAATGATGAGTGTGGACACTGCGGCCAGTCATCAAGAATATCAGCACACAGAAGGTAATGACAATGAAGAGCACAGCCAAGGCCGGGACTTGGCTATTCCGCACCCCGGTGGCATCTTCCACGCCCTCTTTGGGTTCATTGCCCCGCACATAGTCGGTCAGTTGATTGATGATCTTGGCCAAAGATAGACTACAGGCTGTGATAAATTTACGTCCAGCCTTGGTAACACTTTGTGGATCGTCAGGGGAGGGGGTACGGGTGCTGCGTGTACGTCGGCGTCTGGTTGTTGTCTCATCGGAACTGTCAGCCGATTTGTGAGCTTCTTCTCCACCACCATGGGCGGGTGAAACGGAACGCCTATGCCTGGTCCTTTCAGTCTGTTCGGCCATATCAGCCTGGGCCCTGTGTAAATTGTAAAAGGCCAAGGGGGCCAGTTGTTGTAAATATTCAGCCGTGGGGAAAACATTTATCGGCGGAACGGGTGCCACACTGGGTGGTGCTGTCTCCCCCTCTGTTTGGGTCTGTTCATCGGTATTTTGAACCGCAACAGCAGCAGCTGCCACAATGGGAGCCTCACTTTGCTTGGCCTTGGCCTCCAAATCCCTTAGTCTTGGAGGCTTGGGTGGTGGTACCACCTCCCTCTGGGGGCTGGGTTCATTATCGCTATTCTGTTGACTAGTCTGTGTCTCCACAGTCAAATGCTGGGAACGTTCGGTTTGCCTAACCCTTTCCACAATATCCTCAATGAGCCCGGGAGGCAATTCGATGTTCTTGACCACAATATTGCCAGATTTACATTCCACTTCCTCGGAAGAAATTTGTTGGCCATGCAATTGGGAGACCATTATTTGTCCGGCCTGTAAGGCGTGCACTCTCAAACGTTCCACCTCCAATTCACTTATGTGGGCAGGGAGACCACTAGCCGTGGCAGAGGCAACAGGTTCTTCGGTTTTGGCCACGGTTTGCATAATGGCCACTTCTTTGGTTTCCTCTAGGGGCTCATCCTCTTCGGCCTCATAGCGGCTATCAATGGCAGTGGTGGATTTTCTTCTTGGTGGCGGCATGGGTGCAGGTGAGGTGGGTGTTTCCACACGATAGCTGGGGGTGGCCAGGGGAGTAAACTCCTTTTCAAAGGGAATTTCTTCCTCCTCTTCTTCTTCTGCAGCTTCTGGTGCCAATTCCTCGGCGGGTAACTTTTCCGATTTTTCCACCTCATATTTTTCTGATTTCAATTCTTCTTCTTGTTCCCTTTCAGACAAGGCCTCCACATCGGATTTGAGTTCCTCCTCCCTTTCTGAGGTGATCTCCTCCATATCTGATTTCAGCTCCTCCCGTTCTGAGGTAATCTCTTCCAAGTCGGATCTCATTTCCTCAATATCACTTAATTGCCATGGCTCCTTGAGCATTTCCTCACGATCACTGTGTTCCCATTTCTCGGATGGTTCCTCACGATCACTGTGTTCCCATTTTTCGGATCTCTCCTCCCTATCACTTTCTCTTATGTCCTCTTGCGATGTGGTTTGGGTTTCCATTAGCTGACGGCCAATTTCATCCAATTCATCGCGATATCGTTGTAGGGTACGTTCCACCTCTTCATCGGTTTGTTGAGTTTCCTGATCGGATGGCAAATGACCCAAGGCCTCATCAATGTCTGTGGAACTGGGGGCATAGCTGGCCTCACTGACGGGCACCCGCAAATCATCTTTGTGCTCTTCCAGACCACTGTGTTGAGATTCATCGGTAAGCAGGCCTTCACGTCTCAGTTCCTCCTCCTCCAATTCCAAATCATCAATGGGTCGCACAATCAATGATGCCTCAAGCATGGGCTCGCTATTATCCTTCATAACAGGGGTTGAGGACTGACTTTGCACCAATATGGCCGATGGTGTCTGAGGCCTACTCTGTGACTTGGAACGATCGGCCTGCGAAGAGGCTCTTGACCTCTCCGACAAACTTCTTTGATTCGATTCCCTAAAACGTTGCAATCCCCTGGCCAACTGTTCACTGTCAATCACCTGATGATTGACATTTTCCAACTCCTTTTCCAGTTCCTCCTGCAACATTTCCTCTATGGTTTTCGGAATTATTCGTGGTTCAATTATCTTCATATCATCGGTTATTTCAAATTCTTCGCAAACGAAATCATCGGGCAGGGGATCGGTTTGTGTCGATGCCTCGACCTCTTCGAAATGGCGTTCCTCTGATTCCTCTATGCCATCGACAATGTCTACTTCATCAGCGTCCAAGGGGGATTTGGTGGTGGCTTCGGAACCTTTGCTTGTCGAACGATTGCGTTTCTCTCGCGGTGGCCTTGGTGGTGGCGGTAACGGGCGATATTTCATTTTATTAATAATGTCGCCAGATTGTAGATTGCGTGGCGATTCAGGTCTTCCAGGCTCCTCATAATCATCTTCACGGTAGCTGAGGTTGTTAAGTTTGGTTTTTTGTTGGGAGGGAAAGAGAAGGGTAATAGAGAACATTAGTAGTATCATAGATTCTATTATTTAAAGAGGGATTTTGAAATGCACCAAACGAATAATACCAACTCATGCCAACAATAAAAGATTAGGAAATAAGGAAATATAAAGAGGCAAGCTTTTAAATTGGTTATCTAAATTGAAAGTACGTATAGATATTGTGGCGAAATTCTCGGTCCAAGATTTGGACATCAGATGTTATTTGCTGAGGTAATTGGGGTATGGATTTTTGAGTTGCGTTTTTCTCCTCTCTCATTTTCTCCCAAAACTCAGTTTACACCATAAAGATATAGACATAGAAAACCTCTTTTTTTGTTGTACCAAAATTATACCAAAACCAAAATTTTTTCGAACAAATTAATCTTTTTTTTAATGCCTCCTTTTGGGCATAATATAAGGTACCAAGAATCCCGAATATAGTACTTCTTTGTAATAATTTGAAAATGAGAAACATTCGATAATATTGACAAATTAACTGTTACAATATATTCGACTGAGACCACAATATTCCATGTAGAGCTCTGAAATTTTGCTTTATTATTGGTTTTAAGCCTAGAATTGTTGGTATTGAAAATGATCTGTCCACATCTGGGCATGAACTCCATATGAGTATCCTGATTTTAGAAATTTTGAAGTTTTCAGCCAAAGTTCCTTCTAAATCAGCTGTAAATTTCGAGTTCTTTTTGGGTAATTTTACTCCTCATCAAAAATATTTCAACGTAGGTCTAACTAAGATTTTCAAAGTTTTATTTTAATTTTCGACCAAATTAGGTTAGTTTGTTATTTTTGGGTTTTAAATTGGTAAATTGACCCCTCTCAAAATATTCAGTTTAGATGTGATGTAACGGGTCCTGAAAATTTTAGACCTTTTGTGGATAGCCATGTGGTTTTGGCCATGGGACACGACTTTTCACGGTAAGACGGAAAATAATCTTGTCTACTTTCATACTTTTTCGGAGCTAACTTCAATTCAATTGTTTTCCTTGTACGACTTTTCAGATTTGGTACGTTTTTTAGGACACTTTGGAAAATGGTACTAATTTTTGTTTGGTATTAACCTTTAGTTTCCAAATTGGGTACGATTTTTTTGGTACAGCCTTTTTAAAAAAGGTACTAGTTTCCTGATTTGGTACGTTTTTGGTAAACTTTTGAGTATTCTAATAACCGCATGTATTTTTTATACCCTCGGACATATATACCCTCTCTAGAGTATATAAAATTTGATACGGTCAAAATGTGCCTAGTCAAAATAACGGTTTTAGATCCTTGGTCTCTTTGGACCAAATCCGTTTCAGGACATTTGGAGTCGATCTAGCGATGTTCGTCCGTCCGTCTGTCTGGCCGGCGCACGATAACTGTCGAAGGGAGTATCCAATTTGGTCCAAACTTGGTACATCGTAATATTTTTGTCAAACTTAGATCGAGTTTGGAGATGGGCTATATCGGTCCACTCCTTCTGGTACCTCCCCCACAAAAGGTTGACATTTTCAAAAAAATGTTTTACTACACAAAAAGAGAAAGGATAATCCGATTTTGATCCAACTTTACAAATCCTAACATTTGCATCAGTGCTAGGTCAGGTGCGAAAATGGACAATATCAGTTCACTTTATGAAGTACCTCCCCCACAAATGTTCAAAATTTTGAATAATTACAACTCTTATAAAATGTGATGTAAGAGTCCGATTGTCCTCAAATTACACGCATCACAATCTTTTTATTAGCCCAAGGTCTAGTTATTAGACGGAATATATTGGTCCATTCCTTCTGGTACCTCCCCCACAAATGGTCGAAATTTTCAAAAAAAAAAAAAAATTTTCTGCACAGAAAGTGAAGCAGTAATTCTGCTCCCACTTTACAAATCCTAATATTTACATCAGTGCTAGTTTAGGTGCGAAAATGGACAAAATCGGACGATTTCATCTGGTACCTCCCCCACAAAGGGTCAGTGTTTTGAATAATTTCCACTCTAATAAAATGTGATTTAAGAGTCCGATTGTCTTCAAATTATACACATCACAATATTTTTATTAATCCAAGGTCTGGTGTTAAGATGAAATATATCGGTCCACTCCTTCTGGTACCTCCCCCACAAAGAGTCAAAATTTTGAATATCCATTAAGCTCATAAAACGCGAAATTAACATCCAATTCCATGCAGACTTGGCACATCTCAATATTTCTATCAACACAAGATCTTATATGAAGATGGTAGAGATCAGACCATTCCTTCTGGTACCTCCCCCACAAAGGGTCAAAATTTTGAATAACCAAAACTATTATAAAATCCGAAATAAGCGTTCGGTTCCCTTCATATTTCACACACCCCATTATTTCAATTAACACAATATCTGTTGTGAAGATGGGATGTATCGGTCCACTCCTTCTGGTACCTACCCCACAAAGGGTCAAAATTTTAATATCCATAAAGTTCATGGATAGTGAAATTATCGTCCGATTCCAATCAGGCTTGGCACATCTCATTGTTTCTATCAACACAAGATCTATTATAAAGATGGTAAAGATCGGACCATTTATTCTGGGTTCATCTGGCCAAATGGAAAAATTCGATTGAATATGAAAACATCTATTCAATTTGGGCTGATATTATTTAATTGTAAAATCGGAGGAAGATGTATATCGAAGCTACATAAAAATCTGAACCGATCTCGATAAAATTTTTCAGAGGTATTTTCGAGCCGTATCTGATGCCCCATATCAAATATCATTGTTGTGGAGTGCATATTACGCATGTGAGGGACATTAACACCAAATCGGATATAACAGATATATGGGTGCTATAGCTATATCTGAACCTATTTCCGCAAAAAATTTGAAGCACTTGCTTCTAGAATGAAATCCGTCAGAATTTCCAATTTGGGTTGATATTTGGCGCACAATAAACATTAAATAGGTTGAATTCCAGTTCCATTAAATCGGCTGAAGATATATATGAGAGCTTTATCCAAATCTGAATCGATTTTGACAAAAATGTGGGCACTAATTTCTGAGCCCTGTATCCGATATCTGGTACCAAAATTTCATTCTTGTGGAGTGCATATTACTTATGCACTATACTATTACTTAAACCCCTAAATGGGATGAAACATATATATGGGAGCTATAGCTATATCTGAATCGATATTCACCAAATTCGATGTACTTGCTTCCAGGCTAAATTCAGTTGGATGTGCCAAAATTCAGGGCTGATATTTGGTGCACAATAAACATTAAATCGGTTGAAGATATATATGAGAGCTTTATCCAAATCTGAATCGATCTGGACAAAAATGTAGGCACTAATTTCTGAGCTACATCTGATATCTGGTACCAAATATTTTTCTTGTGGAGTGCATATTACGCATGTGTTGACTTAAAACCCCAAATCGGATGAAACATATGTATGGGAGCTATAGCTATATTTGAACCGATTATCTCCAAATTTGATGTACTTGCTTATAGACTGATGTGACAACATTTCTGTCAATTTGGCCTGATATTAGCTAATTGGTGTAAAATTAACCCGAAATCGGTTGAAGTTATATATGGGAGGTATATGGAAATATTGTTTGGAATATTTAATAATAATCGGATAATAAATGCGACCTGCATTTTGTTCACAACAATACATGGACAGAAGGACTGACATGTATAAATCGACTCAGAAAGTGATTCTATGAAGATCATCAAAAGTAAATATGGATCTAACACGCTTCCTTCTCGATGTTACAAACAAATGAACATAGACATAGTACCCTTACGACTATGTGGTGTAGGGTATTAAAAGGGTATATTTTTATGTATTTCCAAATAGCTTCCGGGTGATACCATTTGTTTCGTTTTTAGCTAAATGTGTACCATTTCGGTATCAAAAACTTCCATATTTTTTAAAACTAGTATAATAATGTCGTTTTGAAATACTTCGTCCAATTTGTATTCTTTATATCACTTCATAGCCATTTGTCTGTACAGTACTATGTTCTATTTCATCTTTGAAAAACATTAAAACAATTTTATTCAATAACTTCTAAAAAGAATCGTTCCCATTGAAGACCTCTAGAGGTCCATCTATCCATGACAGATTATCCACGATATTCAGTAACTGTCAAGTCGTCGTAGAAGACTTTCTATTTTTAGTAGTTTTCCTAGATATGACTGAAACATCTTCGGTCCCTCGAAAGCCTGCACAAAGGATTTCAATTCATCTTTTCATAGATATTTAAATAAAATATACATAATATTTTAGTTATCCTTTCTATATGAAAGTAAGGTTATCTTCAACAAAAATTGAGGTTATGTCTCTTAAAATACATTTTCGCCACAATAAAAAGCTTGTCAGAATATAACATGCCGCTAGCTACGCCAAAATAAATTAATTTTAAAAAAATGTTATGCCAAACAACAAAAATAAAATCGGGTTTTAAATATGTGTACGTTTTTTTTTTTATTAATGTCTTTTAGTTTAAATAAAAATGGAAGAGAGCGGGATGATTGTAGTGGGTGGATGAATTGTGAGCAGGATTAGTTATATAAATTAAACTTAAAATGAAAATTAAATTAGAATATTTTTTAGGAGATATTTTAGAACTAAAATCAAACCAAAACTAAAGAAGACAACAATAATATGTTCATCACCCATGTGTGTGGTGTGGTGTTGTGGACCTCTGCTCCTGTTGCGGATGATTTTCAATGTTTTTTTTTTTGGTTGATATGTGTAAGGTATGTAAATCTTAGTTGTATGCATTTTAATAAATTAATTTTTAAAATTATGTTTTAGGTTTTTTTTTAGAGTTAAAACAATTAAATAACAAAACAAATAGCTTGCCAAGAAACAGAAGAAAAAGAAGAAACCAAAAAATAAACAACAAAAATAAGACAACAGCAAAAACAATTTAGCTTAGCCTTAGCTCCTGCTATCTTACTTGGGACGAGCATCTAAACTAAGGGCCGACTTGCGTATCGTTGGCATAACCACATCAGAGACGGGTGTATAACCCCTGGGTGGTGGTGGTCTATCGGGTGGCGGTGGCGTACTTCGTTTAGTTCTCATATTGGGCATGGTGGCATAACGATCCCCCGGCAAATGGGCATAACGTTTACGTCTGGCCGGTGGTGTGGGCTTGGGTATTTGTTCCTTGCGTACTACGGCATAGCTAAAGTGGGAAGTAAGGAAGAGGAGGCGGATCATATATTTTATACTGGATCAAAGGTAAAATAATTGTGGTTGCAACTTACCCATCATTTTCCAACATCTCAATAACATATTTATCTGTCACATCAATAGCCTCATCATCTTGGCCCATGGACATGGCACCTCTAGAACCTTGCTCATCTAAATCGTAATGAGATGTTGATTTATTGGCTGACAGCGAGTCCGAGTACTTGTCGGGAGTGGCAATGGGTACATGATGATATTCATGTTCAGTGCGATAAACGATTACCTGGGAAGAAATGGTGGGATTAGAAAAGGGGATATTGAAAAGGATTTATGGGCGTCCTTTGGAGATGGAAACACTCGAGAAGGCCTTCTATGTTTTGAACATCACAAAGAACTTTAGGAGGCTTTAGACGTCGAGGATATCTACCTTGTGAAGGCCTTATATATTTAGAAGACTACAAGAAGACCTTCAAAGGCTTCTGGACAAAGAAGATCACCTTGAGGTATTCTAAACCTATAGGGTCTCCTCGACATAGAATACCTCAACGAAGACCACAACCACGGTATCCTCGAGGACTTTTCAACATAGAATACCTATTTAAGATCTTCTAAACTAAGCAGGTCTAGTCAAGGTCTTCCAGTCATATATCTTCTAAACATTAGCTTAGAAGACATCCAGGAGGCCTTCTATCCTACTTTCTATCCACAAAAGAGCTCGAAAATGTCTCCGAAGTTTAGAAAACCACGAAGACACCTCCTACATTTAAAAGACGTCGAGCATACCTCCTATATTTAGAAGACCTTGTGAAGACCTTATATATTTAGAAGACTACGAAAAGACCTTATAAGACTTCTGGATAAAGAAGACCACCTTGAGGTCTTGTAAATCTATTTTGGGTCTCCTCGACGTAGAGTGCCTCAATGAAGACCACACGGAATTCTTGAGGACTTTTCAACTTATAAGGCCTATTTAAGATGTTCTAAACTTAGCAGGCCTAGTCGAGGTCTTCCAGTCCTAGATTTTCTACACATAAGTTTAGAAGCCATCCAGGAGGTCTTCTATCCTACATTCTATCCATGGAAAACCTCGAAATCTGTCCGAAGTTTAGAAAACCACGAAGACACCTCTAATATTTAAAAGATGTCGAGGATATCTCTTATGTTTCTTATGCCCTTATATATTTAGAAGACTACGAGAAGACCTTCTCAGGCTTCTAGATAATGAAGACCACCTTGGCATCCTCGAGGGCTTTTAAACATAGAAGGCCCACTTGAGATCTTCCAAATCTAGCAGGTCTAGTTGAGGTCTTCCAGGCTTAGATGACATCCAGGAAGCCTTCTATCCTACTTTCTATCCACAGAAGACACCTCCTATATTTAAAAGATGTCGAATCTTCTGGATAAAGAAGTCCACCTTGAGGTCTTCAAAACCTATCGGGTCTCCTCGACATAGAATGCCTTTACAAAAACCACACGGCATCCACGAGGACTTTTAGAAGACCCATTTAAAATGTTCTAACATAAAGCAGGCTTAGGCGAGGTCTTCCATGTTTAAGAAGTTTAGAAGACATCCAGGAGGCCTTCTATCCTTCTTTCCTTCCTTCTATCCAAAGGAGACATCTATTAGGGCTTCAATATACAAAAGGACTTCTTGGAGATCTTCTGTGATTGGCAGACCTCAAGGTGTCCATCAATGTTTAGAGGACTTCGAGCGGAACTACTTAGACCGAAATGTCCTTGATGACTTCTCGAGGTCATCAAAACATGGAATGACTCTAAAGTGGGAATCCTCATCGAGCCCTCTAAACATAGAAACCCTCCTCATGGTCTTCTAAACAAAGGAGGTCTCCTCGAAGTCCTCCAAAGATAAAAGTCGTACTTGAGATTTTTAAACATGGAATGTAGAAGGCTTTCAAGAGGTCTTCTATGGATAGAATGTCTCTTTTAAAGACTTCAGATCGCAGGAGGTCTCCTCGAGGTCTTATAAACATTGAAAGCATCTACGGGACCTTAAAACAAAGTAGGCCTCTGAGAGTTTTTTTTTTGGATAGAAGATCGTCTAGGGGTATTCTATGAATAAAATGACTTTAACAGGTATTCAGTGAATAGGAGGTCCTCCGGAAGCCTGCTTTCTATAGAAGGTCTTCTAGGGGTCTTCTATGGATAGGAGTGCTCCTAAAGATTTTCTATCCATAGTAGGTCTGCTTGAGATTTTCTGTGGAAGGAAGGCAACCTAGGGTCGCTCTATGGTTGAAGGATTCCTACAGTCCTTTTTGGGGTATTTTATGGTTAGAAAGCTTTGTGTGGTTAGAAGTATCCAGGAGGTCTCCTGGAAGACTTCTATAATAGAAAGCCTCCTAGGGATCTTGTATGGATAGAAGTCTCCCAGAGGCCTTCTATGGATAGAAGACACTCTAAAGGTCTTTTATGGGTAAAAGTCCTCCTGGAAGCCTTCTATAGATAGAAAGCCTCTTAGGGACCTTATATGGATAGAAGTCTCCTAGAGGTCTTTTATGTATAGAAGACACTCTAAAGGTCTTTTATCGGTAGAAGACCTCCTGGAAGCATTCTATGGATTGAAGGCTTCATAGAGGTCATTTAGTAGCTCTTTATGAATAGAAGACCCACTAGACATCCCAGAGGCCTTTAAGAGTTTTTCTTTGGATAAAAGGCCATCAGGAAGTATCCAAAGGATAGAAGGCTTCCTAGGAGTCTTCTATTAGTAGAGGCCTCCAAAAAGTTTTTATGGACCGAAAGTCTCCTAGAAGCATTTAAGAAGAAGTAGTGAATTTCTATGGTTTGAAGAGCTACTATAAGAAAAAAACGTCCTCTTGAGGTCTTCTAAGAATGGATGGCCTCATATAAAACTTTCAAGGTCTTCTATAGATTGGAAGCCCTTTGTGTTGCCTCTGTGACCTCAAGATATCCTAGAAGTTTTTGGTGGATTCAATTTCTCCCAATGGTCTTCTATCCATTGAAAACCTCTCTGAAAGTTTCCATCTATAGAAGCCCTCAAGAGAGTATCCCACAAATTGAGCTCCTACAAAACATCTCCCATTCAAAGAAAACCTTCAGAAATTGCTAATCTCTTCTAGGTTTTTTGAAAATCCTACTCCATTCCATACTCACATCTTCGGTTGGCTGCAAATAGCTATTCGACACCGAGCGTCCTCCAAAACCATTCATAAACGAATCCTTGTCCATTGAAGTGTCACGACGTCGCTTCTGACGTCTCGGTGGTTGTGGCCGTGAAATATCATCGCCTCCATCATTGTCCTCCTGTTGCAGATGGTGTTCATGCCGCACGGGAATGTTTTCCTTACCCGTCACATTCAAATCATTCCAAACGCCACTGACATTTTCATGGGATGGCTCACGCAAATATTCCTCATCCATGTAACGGACATCTTGGCTGTCCATGGAATATTTGCTGCGACTTCTGGACTTGCGCATGGGTCTCCTTGGTGGTTGGTTACCACTGCCACTGAAATAGTCACTGCCATTTTGTGACACCGAAAAGTTATCGCCATAGGAACCGAATTCTTGTGAGTCATTTTGTGGCTGATAGACTTTGTGCAGACGTCGTGGTTTTGGCGGAGGTACATCGTAGTCACCCACATATTCACGGGTTTGACCAACATGTTGCAAGCCATTAATGGGTTTGTCATAGTCGTCACCCTGCTGCCGGAAGGCATTGCGTATGTATTGATTGATTTCAATGTTATCCTGGGAGATGCCACGTTTGCGCAAAAAGAACTCATCTTCACTGATCTCCTCAAGGACCACCTTCTTGCCGGAGCTAGCCGTGGATTGGGTGTCATGACGGCCAACATCATCAGTTTGATATTTGTGATAGCTTGCCTCGGCTTCCAGTTCTGCCTTGCGCAGCAAGATATTCTTTTCGATCTCCTTCTCCGTCCAGCCAACGGCATCCTCTTCGGAGCGTACATCGGAATCCTGATGGACAATGGGACGACGTTTGAATTCCCTCGAACGAAGATTGGAGATTTCATGAATTGCACGATTTTCCTCATCGAATTGGGCGAACTCCTTGTTATCGGCCGCCACACCCAAAAGACCCATGCTATCGGCACCCTCATGGGGTTCCTCGCTTACCGTGTCCTCTAGATCTTCACGCATGCGTCGCTCCAGGGATGACTCTCTGTCGAAACTTTCCAACTCACTGCCGTAGCGTCGATAACGCGAACCTTCGCTGTCGTTGAAACTGACATCGGAGAATTTATCGGCCCAACGGGATCTCACCGGACCTGGTCCCCTATCGCCCTGGGGTGAACTTGAAGACTCCACCGAGGGTTGGGTGGTGGTGCTGGGTATAACACTGGTGGCCTCGGTTGCAGTGCCGGTATCAAAGGAAGATTCTGGTTCCACTGGTTTCTTCTTTTTGCGCAAGACCCTTGGATAGGTGCCGAAATTAAAATCGAACAGCTTCTTTTGTGGCGACGTTGCCTCAACACCCTTTTTGGTAGGTGGCTCCAGCGACATATCCTCATCGTGGACAGTGGTCTCGGTTTCCTTAAACGATTTGCTACGTCCCAATTTTATGCCCGACATTTCGGGTAGCTTAAATTTACTCATATCCGGTTTGGAGAACTTGGTAAATTCTGGCCTCTTGAAATCCTTAAACTTGGACATATCGGGTCTCTTGATATCGGGCATTTTCATTTTCGAAAATTCCGGTGCCTTGAACTTTCTGCGTTCCTTGGCCTTGGGGCTGCTTGAGGGAGATTTCTTGGGGGTGGGCTTAAATTTGGTCCTCAGTTTGCCGGCTTGGGTTTTCAAGCCGATTTGCATTTTCCTACCACGATCTTGGGCCGAGGCCATAAAACTTTTCATGGCACCACTCTTGGGTTGGCCAGTTTCGTCAACGGCTGCCGCCTCATCGGGCAGGGGTTCATCATCAGCCTCTACATTCAGTTCGGTTTGGGGTGTGGGCTTACCCGCAGCTGGCTTGAAGAATTGTTCTTCAATTTCCTTTTGATAGTCTTCGGCAGTTTTTTGCGGCTCCTCCCCGCCTGCCATTTGAGATTCGCTGGGATGTTGATCCTTGACTTCGGAGGATGGTTTATCATCTGAAGAAGGCATTCCAATAGGTTCATATTCATGATCGCTGGAAGAATAGTGAAGGGGGAGTTTATTACTTTTTTTGATAACTTGAAGAGGGGAGGGAGAGGGGGGTATGGGAACATTTAGATGTATTAGTACAAGAAACATGCAAGAGGTGGGGGTGGTGTTGTGAAAGTGTTATGAGGAGTGAGATGCGGGAGAAATTTATTAGTTGGGAGAAGTTACGCTGCTGGAAAACTCCAAGGAGACCTTCAAAAGACATTTCTATGTTTAGAGGACCCCTAGAAGGCCTTCTATGCTTAGAGGATATCTGAGAGGCCTTCTATGTTTAGAGGACCTCTGGGAGGCCTTCTACATTTAGAAGACCTTTGGGAGGCCTTCTATGTTTAAAAGACCTCTGTGAGGCCTACTATGTTTAGAGGACCTCTGAGACGCCCTCTATGTTTAGAAAACTACTACAAGACGTTCTTTGTCTAGAAGACCTCTAGGATGCCATCTATGCCCAGAAGACTTCCAGCAGGACTTCAAAGATTTGAAGACCTCTATGAGGCCTTCCATGTTTAAAGACCCCTAGAAGGCCTTCTATGACATCTAGGAGGCCTTCAATGTTTAGAAGACCTCTAGGAGGCGTTCTATGTTCAGAAGACTTCTAGGAGGTCATTTATGTTTAGAAGACCTCTAAGAGGCGTTCTATGTTTAGAAGACCTCAAGAAGGCATTCTATGTTCAGAAGATCCCCAGAAGACCTTTTATTTTTAGAGGACCTGTAGGTGGCTTTCTATGTTCAGAAGACCTCTAGGAGGCCTTCTATGTTCAAAAGACCTCCAAGAGACTATTTATGTTTAGAAGACCTCTTGGAGGCCTTCAATGTTTAGAAGTCCTCTAGGAGGCGATCTATGTTCAGGTTTTCGAAGTTTAGAAGACTTCCAGGGTGCCTTTTGATTTTAAAAGTATTCTATTAGGCCTTCTATGTTTAGAACACTTCTTGTTTAGAAGACTTTTGACAGGTTAGAGGACCCTAAAAGACCTTTTATGTTTAGAAGACTGCCAGGAGATCTTTATTTAGAAGTATTCTAAGAGGCCTTCTATGTTTAGAAGACCACTAGGAAGCCTTCTATTTTCAGAGGACCCTCAGAAGGCCTTCTATATTAGAAGACCGTAAGGAGATCCTTCGTGAATAGAGGACCTTTAGGAGGGATTCTATGTTCAAATGACCTCTATAAGGATATTCTATGTTTCGAAGGCCTCTGGGAGGTCTTTTACATTTTATGGACCTCTAGGAGGCCTTCTACGTTTTGAGGAGGAGGATTTTTTTCCATTTCCGATTCATGTCCTATTTCCGGTGATTTTAAGTACCTTCTGAAAATTATGAATAGTAGCTTACCGCCCATGATATACCCTATCAGTGTAGCTCGCCTTTCCCCCCGCTGCCGCCGGCATTGGCCTGCCCGCCGATCTATTTTCGAATTCACTCAAACGCGATTTACGCTCATCAAAATGAAAACTAACGGTTTTTGTCATACGCGCCGACGCGAGATAATCCTGTGAATCCGTCAACGGTTGACGATCCTGCGACTGAGTTCGGCCATCGAGGAATTTTTGCTTTGTTTGCTGTTGCATTGGCCTCTGTTCGGATGGTGATCGCAAGCCATGCATGTGGCGATTTCTATCCGGCGAAACACTGTGTGGCAAACTACCGCTGCTGTCCATCATTATGGGTGCGGAGAAGAGAGGTTTTCCCTGCAGTTCGGGATGATGATGTATTGATGGTTCCCGGCTGCCCCAGCTGCTCTGCAAATCACTGGGCTGGCGGCGTACCGAAGGTTCCCGGCTACTGCCCCAGGGTCGGGTGTTGAGGCCCCTCTCCTGGCTGGAAAATTCCAAGGCCATTTGTCTCTGTTGATCTATGGAGAATTGGGAACTTGACGAGCGTCCAATGATGACGGGAGCAAAGGCTTCGCTAATGTCCATGGTGGAAACATGTTCCGGCTCGTGATATTCTTCCCGGCTGCCAATGGATTTTGGTACCGAGGGAGATTTGCTAAGAGTTTGTGCTGCGCCTGCTGATGCTGCTGCGGGTGGGGCAGGTGGTTTGGCCGGCCTAGCCATGTACTGATCCATTTCATCCACCTTCAGGGAAAATGTTTCATGGACCTTAATGGACATGGGTTCGGCATCGGGTTTCTTGGTAATGGTGGCCGTGCCACCCTCAACAATTGTGGAGGCCACCGGCACTGGTTTTCCCATCGAGAAAATGGACATTTTCTTGGGCTTCTCTCCTCCCGGCATGGGAGAGGGGGATTTTTCTCGATTTTTACCATTTTTAGAGAAAATGCTGGGCATCCTAAAGGCTGAGGGTGCTGGGGAAGGAGATTTTTCTCTTTGCCCGACAGATTTGTCTTTGGATAGAAATGAAGGCATTCTTAGAATTGAAGGAGCCGGCGAGGGTGACCTATCCCTACCCGCAGCTGTGGGTTCAGGTAATCCGTTGCCTTCGTCTTTGGGCTTGCCACCGAAGAAGGATTTAAAACGCGAAGAATAGGTGGCTTTATCCTCGGGCAATTGCTGTAGATCCTGTTCGGAGGCAATTTTCTTGACAACCGTAGTGCTGGGTGTTTGACGATCTGGTGAGTGGCCCCGCTTCAGCTGTTGTTGCTGTGGTAGTTGTAGACTATCCATTTGCCGGGAGGGAGACAACTGATCTCTTTGCTGGCGATCCATGGCGGAGCTGGGAAGCTGCCTTGAGGGTGAGAAGCGTGAGGGTGATAATTGGTCTCTCTGCTGGCGATCCATGCCGTAGCCTGGCAGCTGCCTTGAGGGTGACAGTTGGTCTCTCTGTTGGCGTTCCATGCCGTAGCTGGGAAGCTGCCTTGGGGGTGAAAATCTTTCACTACCCAATTCCCTCGAGGGAGAAAACCTCTCCTCTTGCCGGGCGGGAGAAAATCTGTCCATTTGCCTGGAGGGTGAGGAAAACCGTTGCATTGATCTTGTCGGCGACTTGGATTTGGCCCTTTCCCTTGCCTTTTCCTCCTCCTCGCGCACCAGTTTATCAATATCCACCACATTTATCTGGCGTTTTATGTCAATTACCGTCTCCTCATCCAGATGCAGGGAGGGCCTGGGTACATCCTCCACCAAGGGTGGGCTGAGACGTTTAATTTTAATATCATCCCTGACCTGTTCAATGGGTTGGGCTGCCGCAATGGCCTCCAATTCGGCCACAGTTTCCTCCAGAGGACTTTTGGGTCTTTCCATGGGTGGTCGAGGAGGAGGAGAAGCAGAGGCCGAAATAGGGGATCCAAATGGTTGATAGGCTTGAGGTTGCTGCTGTTGGACAATTGTGGAATTCTCATCGGAGGTCTTGTATTTGGACACATCTATGGGTCGATTTTGGGGCCTCATCTCCCCGGGTAGATTGCTGGCAAAACCACGATTCTCCTTGTTGTCCTCCGGACGCATATAGTCCACCGACATTGGCTTTTTGGCAATGCGATAGTCTATATCTCCCGTCTCCATGGCCCCTGGAGGTGAGGGTGAACGCAGAGGTGTAAATTGACGTTGTGGCGTAAATTGGCCACTGGGTGGCTGATCGATGATCTGGGGTGTAAATTGCCTTTGGAAGGAGGGTGGCTGATTGGTCATCTGCGGCTGGGGTGTGGGAGTTATGACATTAATATGTGGCGGCATGCTGTGATAAAGATCCATGTTGGAGGAACGACGACTGGCGGACACAGAACGTTGTTCCCGCCTCCGGGGCTGGTCTATCTTGATGTCGGCCACAAACAGATCTCCCTTGGAGGGGGAACGGGAAATACGCCTTAGCGAGCGTACACTGTGCATTGACATGGTTTCCGGATCCCTTTGGCCACCTCCACTGGCATTGGACATGCGATCCACTGAGGTGAAACGTTGGCGACCCCTTTGCATCTGCTGCTGCGGATCATCATCGGAAATGCTGCGCACCACTAGGCCTCGCTTTTTGGCCGTATCCTCCAGTTCGGGATACTTTTCCACAAATGAAATATCCACCGAGGCTGAGGCCTGGTCCCATGAACGATGTTTTCCAATGCTGCGCATGGATTGACGTTCCGGATCGGGTTGGGTTATACGCTCGCCGGCCAATAGCTTACGATCGCCGCTAATACTGTGCATGGCCATCGATGCTGAGGTAAGTGGTAGTGGCGAGTGGGCGGCTTGTGGCCGGGGCGAAAAGGATCCGGGCACATGCATTGGTTCCTCATAGCCATATTCTGCGCACTGGGGATCGTGTTGGAAATCCAGTCGAGAATTGGGTCTCGAATCGACGGGATTGATGCGTTCCGGCAGCAGAGAGTCACTTTGGAAATATTGACAGGCACAGCGTACATCGAGCGTTATGCCACCTGCGCTTTCATTGCGTGACACAAAGTGCTTTTTTTCTTGGGGCAAAGCTCCCACAGAGGCGGAACGGCGGGTGCTCATTTTGAGAGAGCAGAGAGAGTGAGAGAGAGAGCCTTTACTTAAACTCTCAAATGAAAAGAGTTTCAATACAAATTTGTGTTTTGAGAGAGAATAAAATGCGTTGGAGCTTTGCCCGTAGAGCTTTGGAGATTAAACTTGTTTTCTCTGAGTTGTTTTTATGGCTCTCAATAGGAAAGAGAATCAAAAAAGACTTGTGGTGAGCGCAATGATATAATGCGTTGGAAAGCTTTTCTCATTAATCCAGCTTTCTTGGGAGAGTAAAATAGTTTTGTTGTCAACTCTCAATGGAACAGAGAATCACTAGAAATCTGTGCTGGGAGAGCGAGAGAGAGAGAATGTGGTGCGTTAAAGCTTTGCCACCCTGAGCTTTTGACACTAATCTTGCTTTCGCTGCCCATCGGCAGCATACATTTGGCCACAAACTAAATACGCACACACCAGGCAAAACGTCAATATTGAAAATGTCGCAGCAGGCAAACTCGGTGATCTTGTCTATGGCCAAGATGATGCAAAAAATCTGTCGTCTTCTTAGGTGGCTGGCTGGCTGGCTGAGTAGCTGGCTGATCGTTCGTTTTTCTTATTT